CAAAAGGTTGAGATGGTGAAGATGAATAATCAAAGCAATCTCCAAGTCACTTTCTCTAAACGTCGAGCCGGACTTTTCAAGAAGGCAAGTGAATTGAGCACCTTATGTGGGGCTGATATTGCTATTATCGTTTTCTCACCTGGTCGAAAAGTTTTCTCTTTTGGCCATCCTTCTGTTGAGACCGTGGTGGAACGTTTCATTAGTGGTAATCCACCACAGGTTACTTCAGGAACTGAGAAACTCATTGAGGCTCATCGAAACACCAGTCTTCATGAGCTCAACATGCAGCTTACTCAGGTTATTTTGATTTTTTTCTATTTTAATAAAATATTTTCAATATAAACTATATATTAATTCTGCTACATATATAGATTCTTAACCAACTCGAAATTGAAAAGACGCGAAGCGAGGAGCTTAACCAAACGAAAAAGGCCAATGAGAATGAATGTTGGTGGATGGGTCCTAAGGAAGATCTAAGCTTGGCACAACTTCAACAATTAAAGGCCTCTCTTGATGAGACGAAGAAGATTGTGGCTAAGCATGCTGAGAATATTGTGCTTCATACCTCAAATACTCATCTTCCTCATCCTCATCTTCCACATCATCATCATCAACCTCATCATCCTTTTTTTCTGAGAAATTCTTCTAGTGGAACAGGGCTTCAATCTGAGACAAGGCCGGCTGGATTCAGGTCTAGCGTTGTTCTATTCAACAATCCAAACATGATGCCTCCAGGGTATCATGGATTTCACCAAAGATTCTTCTAAATAAACTTTTGATAATTATTTAAAATAGCTTTTAAATTTTTGCTAGACAATAAATGCCTCCTAATTAATCTTTAGATTATGTTTGGTTTTAGGGTTTCGGCTTCTAGTATGAGTGAGGATTTGGTCTAAAATAAGAGGCATCTTATTTTATGTTATTTATTAAAGGATTTTGTAATCGTTTAGTGATATTGCATCTTTTCATTAATATAATCTTTCTTCCTTCAAACCTTGTGTACTTGATTATATATATATATATATCTACTGTATCTCAAAGATTTTACTATGCCATTTTTTCAATGTTGTGTTGTGACATTATTAACCACTGTCTATATAACATATCTTAATATGTAACATTTTAATATATAAACAATTATGTGAATATATTAAAATATATAGACAGTTATAGAATCAAGATAGTATAAGTGTTTATTTTTTGAAACTATGATGAATTGCTAAATTACGAATCAATCATAAATTTTACATGTGAGGGTTAAGAGCTGTAGTCGAATAGTAAGAAGGGGACTAAAGATGAAATTTCTCATGGGACTAAATGAGTCGTACAAAGCCATCTAAGCACAATACTACTAATAAAATCTTTTCCTTAGTCTATGAAGTGTATTTCATTATCCAACAAGAAAAAAAAAATGGAGAAATGTTGTTGGCCAACTCAGCAAACATGACCTTTGCTTTTAACATAAGGGAATCAAACAAAATATATATGAAGTGTATTATTATTCTCAATATAAGATTGTAGGTCACTTGATTTAATCGATGCTTCGAGGCCAATTTAGGAAAGTATGCATGTTTTTATTGTAACATGTTCGAGCACACTACATAAACCATCTAGAAGTTACAGGGATGCCTGAAGGGACATATGCTTTATGGGAAGATTAAGGCGCACAATGCTGACTAAGGGGTCAATATTGTCCCCACAAGAATAGAATAATCCTAAAAACAATCTCCAATCACTCAAGATCAGTATGCATAAAAATGGTATTACTGTAACAAAATCATTATTTAGTTCATATGGTACAATCACTTATTGCTCCTTGTTAAGATCAAATGTCTCTAGGTTCTTTGGTATATCTTTCTATTTCTCTAATCATTGATAAAATTCAATAAACATGCATTGTTTATTAGATCATTGATACTAATGCCTTATATCACATCATATCCACACCTTCTTTATGCACAAGCATTACAAGAAACATTTCTTTTCCAATTGTTTTACCAACTAATGCTAGGGTAAATATGTCTCATGATTAAACCATGAATATTACTGATTAATTAACTCTTTACAATATTTTGTGTTCTCCATGTTTTAACTTTAATCTTATATTTATTAGAAGATTGGGCCATGACTTAAAATTTTATCTCGTCTTCTCACAACAATTTTATGATAGAAAACTTTTGAGCTTGGAAAACAATTAAGATGGGCTAGGCAAGGTATTATCTGTATTAGTTGTAGTAGCATAAAATTCCTTTATCCATATCTGGCCAGTCATTATCGGAAACAATTATTTCTAACACAAATGAAGATGAACTCTTTTGATGTTTAGCATTACAGCCATAGACATTCTTAATTACCTATAATTAATTTGTTAAAGATATTCAATGATATAAAATATAAGCTTCGATTATATTTGTCCCTTTACTAAGCTTTATAAACTTTCATCTCCTATTATCCAATATAAAAGTAACATAAAAGTATACATTGTTTTGATCTCATAATTGTGGCACTTGGGGGCTTTGTAATGAAGTTTATTATGATAGATATCACAACTTTCTCATGATTGTATTTGGGTATACCTACTTAGGTCACACTTTAAGGTAGGACTTACTTGCAAAAATTTTACACATTTGTAGAGACACAGTTTAACATAAAGATCAAAACCATATGACGTGACAATGAGAAAGAGTTTAAAATGAAGAATTTTTTTTTGGGAAAAAGGAATTGTCCATTAAACATTGTTAGAGCCCTAAAGTTCCAAAATTGCCTTAATTTGAAATGTTGGAGTAATTCATCCTTATTGTTGTTTATTTAGTGAATAAGGCTTTTCTATACACTATAGATGACTAAACAAAATTTGAATTGTAATTCAAAACTAAGCCAACAAACACACTCCTGAAGGTTTTCAGGATGTTTAGCTTTTGTCTCCACTTCAGTCAACAACAAACACATATTTGATCCAAGGGCAAGAAAGAGTGTCTCATGGGATATACCTCTGGAATCAAGGGATATAAAATTTTTGACATGGAAACATGGAAGATTATAATTCAAGAAATGGAGCTTATCATGGAATATTTTTTCTTACAGGTCCCAAACCAACAGTGAGGTTAATAGTAATCTCCTTTGTTTGAGTTCTCCTACTATTTACAGAAAACCATATATAGAGTTTTTTCCTATATATGATGCAAGTAAGGAAATGAACTTAAAAGACATTGAGTTTTTTCCTATAGTCATCATTCTTATGAGATATATGAAAGCTTGTTTTCCCTAATGTTGTAACAACCTAGTTTTTCATGAGCAATCACAATTGTTACTTTTCATTCATTCATCATAATAAGTAATAAAATTCATATGCTTACAACGTAACTATCATCCTTTCAATTAATCTATCATGATGAAACCATAATGTGACATCCCAAATGTTAATTAAAGCATAAGAGTATTAGATACAAAAACAGATACGGTGCATTTAAGATAATTATATGTAGCAAAATAAAATATTACAATCCCTTAGAAAATAGTAATAGAGTTCCAAATCTTACAACACTGAGGCGAACAAAATTTAAATACAAGTCTCTACAAAAATTGACTCATCAGAGTGCGAAAGAAAATATGTACTCGTAATAGTTCATGGATCCACAGGATCCTCAAAAGCTTCAAGAGGTAGGTCAATGATCGGTTCCTCACTATCGTCCCCATCTGCGGGGTCATGAAAAGGGATGAGTTCCACATGCTCAGTAAAGAAAACAATATTTAAATAAAATTATTAAGACTTCAAAGGCAATTTAAACTTGAATAGAGTATCGTAATTATTTACTATTGGAAATATTGTCGGGAGTCCAATTCAATAATTATGAAAATAATTTACTTTGTTAACCAAAACATCTAATCAATCATGTCAAATCATACCATGTCAATCAAATCAATCATACTAAAAATAGAAAAAATCAAACAAATCATGACATGCTTTTATTTTATTTTATTCTTCAATTGAATTTGTTCCGACTTCCATCTATTAAGGGCAATATGGATTCCTGACTACCCATGTGGAATTACCCAATTTATTTCATTTCATATCGATAATTTGCAGTTTGTTAAACCAACATCATACTTTCGTCTTGTCAAACCATCGCACGATTTATGACCACTACCGTGCAAATCACAGTGGTCATATATGTATATTATAATCATGGGTTTACTTACCAAAGGTGACCCTTACAATCATGTTGTGTCACCACTCTTGTCAAAGTGTACATGTCATCCACAGGGAGCAGTCATCTCACATCTTTTCAGACTATATGGGGGAGAAACATAAACTTTTCAGCGATAAAAAGCCTAACAAATCATGTCATTTATAAACCATGCATGCTAATATCGATATATATTTATCATGTTTACAGTATAACATCATGCTTGTCATCATACAACATAACATGCATTAACATTTATCATTTGCAAATTAATTGATTATAGTTATACATGTAAATAACCAACTTGTATTCCTTCATATAAACATGTATTAACACGTAATAATTAAGTTAAATCATATAAAATTAAGCATGCAACCAACCGATTAAAATTCCATCAAAATAATCTAAAAATAATCCTTTGTAGTTAAAAATAAATAATAAATTCCTTACTAAAACCTTAGAGTTTTCCCTACGTCTTTACCTCCTCTAATTCTTCCTCTTCTCTCTCTAGCTCTCTCTCTCTCTCTAGAGCTCTTTGGCGGATGAAAAAATGAAGTTAGAGTGGTAATGAAATGGTGAAGAGGAGTCCCTATTTATAAAAAATGGAGACTGTTAGATTTATGTCAAATGGCAAAATTTTGTGAGGAGAGAGGAAAAGAAAAGGTGATTTGATGCGATGCGACAACTGACGGACGTGAGTGATGGATGATCAATGTGACAATGACAACATGGCAATGGTGCGAAAACTAAAGGCACACCACTGAAACGATAGCGGCAGCGGCTCACGCCCCCTAAGGAGTGGCGCGCGTCGCCCAAAGAGCGGCGCTCGCTGCCCAAGGCAGCATGTGCCGCCCCAACCTTACGTGTGTTTGTCTGCATGTGATGTGATGTGCGCAAACCGCGCACCTCGCGCCTACTCACAGATGGGACATGCGCGCTAGAGTATGTCTCATGCTGGCCGCGCATGCATAAGTGTTTGTGTCGCACAGGACCCGCGTAGATAGGGAGGCCTTCTCGCAACTTTTTTCGCAGGATTTTTCCCCTGTTTTTCTTTTTTGTTTTTCCTGAAATTGTTTTAAAACAAATTTAAACAATTCAAAAAATTATAAAATAATTTAAACAATTATTTAATTTCATAAAAAACAAATACGTTAATTTCGTACAATTTAAAAATAAATTTTAAACTATTTCATTAAAAAATCAGAGCATGAAATTTAAAGAGTTCAATTGGCCTTAGGGCCCAAATAATTAGAGATTTTACAATACTATTAAGCATAAAGGTTTCCAGGGTGTTACATTCCCCCCAGATTTAGAAAATTTAGTCCTCAAAATTTGTCATGAATAAATGAGGAAACCTCTCTCGCATTTGACTCTCTAGTTCCCACGTCCCTCTTTTGGTGTGTGATGTTGGTACTGCTCCTTCATCATCAGGATCCTTTTATTGCGCAAAACTTTATCAGTCCAACAAAAAATTTCCGTGGGGAGCTTCTTATAAGTCATGTCGGCTTGGAGTTGCATCTCTTGGTGATGAATGATGTTAGAAGTGTCAGGATGATACCTTTTAAGCATGGAGATATAAA